CTACACTTAATATTTGGAAACTTTTCCATTACTTTTAATGGATATAGCTTGATGAGATATACTAAAAATGTCTAGAACTTCACTGTAGGAATAATTTCTATGTTACTACCATGTTTTAACCCAGTCTGGCCGCATTCCTGGCAATAAATTTCTTGGTGGTGTGAGAAAGGGTGACTGGGGGTTGCTTCCCAGATTAATAATCTGCTTTTCTCTATTAGGGATTTGAATTATGTTCTCAGTTTTATTACGTAATAAAATGGATGTACCTCTGAAAATTAGTAACATAATGGCTCTCATCCTTCTGAGACCAACCCGCAACTGCAATTCATTTGACACTTGATTCAGATTGGGGTGAGGAAATACATCTGGATCACTGCTGTGTCAGCACACAGAATCACTGTTCCCTGACTTCAGGGAATTACTTCTCACAGTCCTAGAGAAGCTATCGAAAGTCTGAGTAGCTTCTCACTTCTCAGTTGCTACTGGACTTCCACATCAGAGGAGACTAACAATTACTGTCAGCTCATAGAGTCACGCGAACTCCAATAAACCGTGTTATTACCAATGGTGGGGTAATGTTACATACCTACGTGGCCCTATAAAGGCCCTTTCTGCTAGAATTAGATCATTTTTTACATCTATTCCTCTTGGCTTCTATTCTGTAATTCTTTTCTAATGTCACAGGTGTGACATTTTTACTGAAGGGTGAAAAAAAGTCTGTTAGTTCAGGACATACCTGACAGGGCAGAATGAACATCTTAATGACTATAAGGATAGATTATTTTGGAAGCCTTTCGCAGTGCTTGCCTTTGTACTTTGCTATTTAAATCAATCTTATTCAGCCAGTTATTCTTTATTATATATCGGTTTTTTTCAACCTTTTTTCTTTCAGAAGGCAGCAACATTATACCCCCATTGGTCGATATACTAATGAAACTGTTTCGAAAGATGATAGATGTAGATCTACCATTTCACCTTACCCTTTTGAATGTCTGCTTCTCCAACCTCAAAGATCTTCCTAGCAGCAAGAAAGGATCAATTGGTTTCTATCTAAAGCAGATGTCACCACCATCAGGCTCTGGTAAACGTGTCCGGGTAAGCTGGAAGATACAGAAAACTATTTGCTGATAAGAAAGTTCTGAGATATTTCTGTCTTTATTATACAGATTTAAACGTTAACTGCTTTGGAATTTTTAGGATCATAAAAGTCTTATTCACCTGGTAAAAATGAGTATTTAAGTGGGGTCTTCTGAGCAGGTTTTACTTGTTTTCTTTCATTAGACAGACTGCTTCAAAGAGATCTAACACTGTCTTGAATGGGACAGCCGGCTAGGTTGTCAAGCCCCTTAACTGAAGGCAGCAGAATTCACTAAGGGAGAAATCCAAACTTGTGTCTTCTGAAAAATAATTTCCAAATTTGACTGTTCATTTCAGCAAGGTCTGCCCGTTATTAAGCATTTGTGAAACAACAGGCCCCTTACTCGGATATTGTCATACTGAAGCATCTTTTACCTTAGACTAAAATCTCCTTAAAGTTGCTTGTAATTTACCTTGTTGCTTTTATTCAGATACATTCACAGTGATTATTTCCCTTCCTATGCATTCTCAAGTCTCCCTGTTCAGACCAGGAATGAATCAAAGATTTAATGCTGTATTGGCCACTAGCACTAGCTTCTGATCTAGTGGGCTTCTAATTCCTGCTTGGAACTGAACCCACCTGCTGCCTCCCAACTGCATGTGCTAGACAGCGCAGGAGCTGTCTGTGGAAACACTGACAAGGATCTCCACAAGATGCTTTCAGCACATAATACAAAAAATTACTAACTTCAAAATTATGTTGTGTAATGAATTTACTAGTTTTGTCTTGACATAGCAATTTTGCATGTTAATACACTTGGCTGATTCTCAGCTGCTCAGGAATATGATGGGTAACATCATACCATGTACTCTAAAGCAGTTTTAAAGCAATAAAACATAACTTCAAGGTATTTGCTACTTTAAGAAAACTATTCCTACGTGTGTGTACTTTAAGGTCTATGTTTGAAAATTAGATTTTAAAAAACACTACCAATCATAAGGAAAAAAAATTACTGTCTGTTAATGAACAAATCTGTTAGTAAAATAGTGCTTTGTAATTGGTAGGATACACAGAACATACTTATGCTTTTATGTACGTTTTTTGCCACAGGAAGTAGATGATGTCTCCCAAGGTGAGGGAAGCGCTTCTTGGAACCAGAACTGCAACAGAACTGGAAGTACAAAAACTAGGAAGCTTTCAGAGGACAAGAGCAGCAATATAAAAAAAGCAGGAATTCCCGACTTCCCACTTCATTTGTCTCTTGGTGATATTGACCAGGAAGTCTTCAGGGAACTTCCAGAAGATATTCAACAAGAAATTATTTCTCAAAAACCAGAAGCAATCCCTACTGAGAATGTTTCGGGGCAGCCACCGGTGTGTTTTGCAGAAGAGGTGTACAGCCCTTGCCCAGATTCTAAGGGACTAGGCAGCGATACGCGCTCTGCAGGGTGCGGTACACATCTCGCATCGGCTCCTCAATCAGCAGCTGCTCTGGCACACAGCTCCAGGGCCAGCTGCTCTGCCGAGTACCCTGGAAGCACACTGACAAGCAGCAGTACAGAAGAACAACCTAGAGACTCTCTGAACTTCAGAGGGAGAGATCTCTCATCTCTGGAAGCTGGTGGAACTGTTCTGCGTGTCCCTGTCTTGGATAAAGATGAGCAGCCCTTTGAAACAACTTCTGAGGATAAAGCCTTCAGCAGGCAAGCAGAAATTGTGTTTCCTCCTAATGTTGACACAAAGACTTTTTATGAACTACCTGCAGATGTGCAAGATGAACTGCTAGCTGAATGGAAGAATCTGCAACCTGTGTCCAAAACATCGACAGATAAAGCCCCTGAAAAGCCTAAAACAAATAAAGGAAGGAGGAATACAGCACCATGTTCATCACAGTCTAACAGTTTGCTAAGATATTTTAAGCCACAATGAAACACCTTCCGTAATAGCGACGCTGTAAGAATCAGCACTTGAAGGCACTTCAGTTCTGAAAAGTTTATTGTAAATTGTAAAGACATGAATATTAAAAACTTATTTTGACAACTTTTGACATAAAACCTGCTGGTGACTCTGTTTAAGTAGTAATTAGTTTATCTTATTTTTCTTTCTTATAAATTGACATTTATCTGATGAATCTCTTCCGTAATAGCGACGCTGTAAGAATCAGCACTTGAAGGCACTTCAGTTCTGAAAAGTTTATTGTAAATTGTAAAGACATGAATATTAAAAACTTATTTTGACAACTTTTGACATAAAACCTGCTGGTGACTCTGTTTAAGTAGTAATTAGTTTATCTTATTTTTCTTTCTTATAAATTGACATTTATCTGATGAATCTTTAGTTCTCCTAAACATATTACCATGTGCAAACATATTTTAGTATTCAATATTAATACCTTAACATGCTGACTGGGGGGAAGGAATTTTTACTTGCATTTGCATTAAGTTACACTATGTATGCAGTTAATTGTTTCTAACAGCTTGGGAAGGGATTGAGCAGAGAAGATGAAAGCAATTTTCACACTGTTCTTTAATTTGCACCACTGTTTCTATGATTGCTAATGGAAACTACTATTCACCTGGCTGTCACGATTTCCTCCAGTTAACTCGTAACTAGAGGTACCAGAAACACTAAGGGGCAATGGAAAAGATTACTTCCAAATGAATCATATCTCATCTTGTTCCTGGAAATTAGTCAGCATATAAAAATTGTTAGGTTTGGTGCCCAGGATTCAGAAAATGACAAACAACTCAGTGTAGAAAGAGCAGCTTTTAATGAGATGCAGTATACAAATTCATCCAGCTTTTCAAATATTTAATTCCAAAACAGTGAAATAGTTGCTAATTACACTTGCACACTTATAATTAATAAACATGGTTAAAGTTTCTAGTACACAAGACGTTTGCTTGTTGCAGTCGAGTACATAATTGAGGTAAGAATTTATCAAAGTGTGTTTAAAGCTACAACAAAATATTTTACTACTGTATTTTAACATTGCTATAATTCCTATCACCAGATTCTCGTGTGCATGTATATATTATATTCCCTGCATATAAAGTGCAAAAATATTACAAAACATCACCTGATTACATTGAAAGCGACATCCTGTGCTTCGATGGCACTTTAGTGTAAATTCTTGCATGATTCCCAAGAACAGAGAAAGCCAACATTCACCATTTGAACTGTTAAGCTTTACACGTTTCCACATAAACCACCATTAAACTTCATCATCTACTTTAAAAATGAATCCAAGTAAAAGACGCATGTGATTTAAGTGGTTATTATTTTCCACTTACATTTAATTACGGTCCTTCAAGCCCTGCAGTCCAGCTCTCGTGTCAGTGATTAAGTTGATGAGAGTAGCAGGTAATGCTGTCTCCACTACAGAAGAGGGAAGCATTCCTCCTAGTTGTGGCTGAATAAATACAACCAGCTTAGAATGCTCTGGATTCCTGGGATGAAAGGAGCAAAATCCTTCAGTTAGCACTTGCTACTCTTGCTGTGAAACTTACTGAGATGTACAAGTGTTTAAAATTTATAGTTCATCTCTGTTGAAGTTACAACTGTGGAGAAGTGGAGGATGTCCAAGTTTAGTTTGTTTCAAAAGACAGTCTGAGTTACAAAACTGATCTGCACAAAACTCTAAAGTTTCCCCAGAATAAAACTGTCCAAATAAAATTTAAAAACCCCAACTGTGTGGTCCAGTAAATTTTAAGCTTTTTATAGAGAACTGAGTAACCAAAGATGCTGTAAGGGGGCTTTAAATACTTACTCAGGCAAAGGAGAACACACATATCCACAGGGATAGTTATAGCCTCGGACACAAGAGGGAGCTGGAGGGCAGCTGGAGTATTCCACGCTGACAGCTTTTAAGTCACCACACACAAAGAGCAAAATCAAATTAATTATGTTTATGTACGTCGATCGTACGACTCAAAAATACCTTTTAAAAACAAACTACTCCAACTGCTATAGGACAGTAAAAGATCTCACAGTGTGGTCACTCGTGTGTTTAGCAATTGTATGCAAAACACCTAAAGGACATTAAATATTTGTGTGAGTAATTCAACACATGTAAAAGTTTCTATAGATGTTTGGGCAGGCGTACCCCAACGTATTATCCTTGAGCCGTAAACACACATACCTAAGTGCTGAGGTGTGGCTTAGTTCTGGACAAAGAAGTCAAGTCAGTTCGTCAGCAGATGTCATTAATTAATAAACTCAAGTGCAGAGATGATGAGGAAACAGCTGCACACATGCACAGTAGTAGTTGGGAGGGGTTGTTATCTATTATATTTGCATAATGAAAGTCTTACAAGGCCATGGCATCAAAAAAACAATAAGGCAAAAAAGGTTCAAGATGAAGAAAGTTTTCTTCCATGTACTAAGATCCCCACAAAGGAAAAAGATGAGCACAGAAATTAAGTAGCCCTGAGATATTTTCCTGTCTGGCCACAGAGTTGTAATATTAAATCATTTGACATTTTGTGTAAGTTCACAGAGCCAAACTCAAAGGGAATCAAAGATGGGGCAAATTAGCAATTCCCTCTGAGAATTCCATACTAGGCAAGTAGCTTTTGGCCAGGAAACAGTCTAAATATACAAAATTGTTACTAAATAAGCACTGAATTTATAGAGTGAAATAATAAATTCTAGCTTCCTCTTACTACTACTACATTTTTTCAATTTTTCAAAGACATAATAGGAGAATAAACAAAGAACACAGTATCTTCTCTGAAGATCAATGTTGATAGTTTCAGTATTAAAAAAACAACTTTGTTTTGGTGATAAACAGGAGGGGACTGTTCACATCAGTAAGGCCACACACAGAGCAAGGTACTCTGTGCTGGGATTAGGCTGCAGAACTTACTCTGCAGCCATTCACTTTAGGATTTTCAGAAGGCAGTCAAAAAACAAAAGCGGTAGTTACATGCAACTTACAGTTAGTTGTAAAGATACCCCCAGGGTATTGTTTAACATGCAGCAGGTCAACAAAATCCCTTGATGAAATCAGTCCCATACCATAACTGTGTGTTACACTGTGGTATATACCAGTGTCCTACAAGTAAGTAAAAGTCATCTTTTTAATTAATACGTAAGAAGCTAAGTTTTATTTAATTAGCAAAGCAGCATTCCATGCTGAATAATGAGAATAACGGATTCCTATTTGTTAGCATAAGACAACGTTCGCATATCCAGTTAGTGCTGAACTAATGAGAGCCATGAAAGGGATCTTCAGTGACACAGGACAGGGATTCACTGCCATTCCTTCTGGCCTAGATTTAGGCAGGAGTACAGTTTCTGTGCGGAAAAACTCAAAATGTGCACCTTTAGTATCCACATTTAGTGGAGCTAGAATGCCTGTTTGCATTAAAATACAGATTGCATTCTAGGACAAAGGCATAGAATCTGTCAAACTAACTCAGCTCCAAAAACAGCAAAGAAGATACGGATGGGTGTACCACTACATACTAACATCTGACCAATTCGAGTGGATCCAGGCAGAGGAAAGAGAGAGAGGTTCAGGGAAGACAAAAAGGGGAGCATTTTTTTTTGTGGTTTAGGGAGTACTTTATACACTTGAGTCATTCATACGTGTGTAATACGTTCCAAGACCTCTCTCTCTACACAGGGCCATCTCTCTCCAGTGGTCAGCTCACAGAATCACAGAACAGTAGGGGTTGGAAGGGACCTCTGTGGGTCATCTAGTCCAACCCTCCTGCCGAAGCAGGGTCACCTACAGCAGGCTGCACAGGACCTTGTCCAGCTCAAAGCCAGCTAACACAGAACTGATACTCTTCCCAGGAATTCCGAGTTCTGGGTTTCCAGAGTGCCCAAGACAAAGCCCAGAGCAACTGGAATTCTGAACACACGACACTCCACAGCACCAGCACAGCATTAATTCAACTTCCATGCTGCCCTTGACTTTGGTGATTTTTTTGCATCCGTATAAACCACACTCACTGTGAGAGCGGAGCTTTCCCTGCCTGTTGTTGGCATTGTGTCTCACCCTACTCTTGGTGGAGACTTCTGTTGTTTTCCACAGACTGAGTTCTTGGCATGCTTGAGGACATTTATTTCACAATAAATATTTAACTCCTAACAGGAGGGACGCATTTTGTACCCATTTCACTCAAGTGGCAGATTTAGAAGTTATTAGCAACATACAATGTATTTCATATTTAGAGCTTTCTTTGTCCCAACAGAGGTCTTTTTAGTCACCATAACTCATGCAGGAAGATTTAAAAAATCTTTGTATTAAATTATTGTATTACCTGGTCAATCTTTTCCAACAGTTTGTAAGATTGCAATGCTTTGTCCCATTTGTTTCGATGTTCAGGGAGATACATAAAAGGAATAATCTTCTGAGGGACTTCCTTAATTATCCCTTCTCCACGGTATCTAGATTGTGTAAGAAACAGATATTGAATTCACATTTATGAGCTGGAAAAATAAGTTATACGATAATAAGCATCTAGCAGTTGGAGATGTCAGGCTATAATGAGGTAAAGCACATGAATGTAACTGCATTTGATGGATTGATTAAAATTCAACTAGTAATAAAAACTGTTATTCTGTAACATTTTTTTGAGACCATTACATTCTTGACACCGCACATTTTAAGTGAATTATTTGTGAGCGATTAGCTAGGAACCTGCTAATTTAAATAATCTGTTATTTTTTCTATATAGATGCTTTCAATCCATTTTGGCACTGATTGCAAATCTTCTCACTATTTAAGAACTAGCACCTCCTGGCATTTCTCCAACCTTTGTTCATAACCTTCTGAGGAGTTCAAGGGAAAGTTCACAGAGGGGAAGAGGGGCCTCTCACAAGGAAATAGGAAACTCCTCTAACGATGGGAACCACTCACTAATACTGGTAATTCTCACACCTAGTTCCTGGAGAAACTGTGAATCACTACGGTAGTGATTGACAGCAATCAAATCAAAGGTGAAGGATGCTGCGTGACAGCAGATAAGCTCCAAGGAGACTACGCTTGCAAGCAGTTTAAGAAACATGAAATCAGATTTACAGACCCTGATGATGCATGAGCATAAGTCAGAAAGAGGAAAGATAGCCGAGTGCAAACACAGAAGCCCTGCAAAATCACGGACCTGTTTCTTCCCGCTGCAGCAGCAGCTCTTGTCACCACTTACTGCCCTGGTGGAGTGAGCACAGTGTGGGCGTCTACGACTACTCCAGAAACTTGCTTCTCCACTAACTGGGTCCAATGGCGATGGCAAACATCTTAATGGCAACTCAAAAACAGCTAATGGAGGCTGTGGCAGGGCCAGTTAAACCCAGCATATTAGTATCTGGATACACCCTTTATTTCCATAACTCCCATGAACTTCTGTTTATCAATCTCCTAAGCAGCTCTCGCCTGCATCCCGTAATGTCTTCTCTCCTAAACTCAGTGCAAGTTGTTAATCAGGAGGACTTTTTCCAGGCAAGGCTTCTGAAAGACACAGTTGCTAGAATACAAGAAAAGGCACACTTGTGCCAAATCTCAATTTCCAGTTTTTACAGGGGGTTATTGGGAACACTGGGAAAAGAGGAAGTAAGCCTGGTAAAGACCGCTTGGATCACCAAATCTAGTCTCACTATCTTAGACAAACTGAAACACATAGCCTCATTTCTTGAGCTTAGGTGACACAATTCCAAAAGAAATCCTATTCAGCCTTGAACAACCACCTTAATGCCTCCCTGAACTCTGCTGAAAATACTTCACCTGACCAAAGCAATGACCTCTACTGCTTTTAACTACCAGACCCCACACTGATTTCTTTTAGCGAGTAAAGCAAAACGTTAATACTCCTGCCAAGTAAAAAAGAAACTGGCATTTGTGATACACTTCATAAATATTCAATGTCAAACTGTAAATGGGAACACCTATACTTTTGCTCCTACAAACAGCTAGTATTCCTTCACAAAAGATGCTACCGACCAGTGCTGCTTGTTAATGGGACAAAGATTTGTACAAAAATAAATGAATGAAAGATTCTGGCTCCCTGTACCAAACAGCACAAAGCACGATAGATAATGCTTTTCCTGACTGCAAAGAATTTGCTATATAAAGATCTGAGTATAACTGAAAATGGCTTCATGCCTGACAGACTACAGCGTATCTTTTCTCCTCCACAGAAACATCAGGCACGTTCTCATGAATTCTAAGCAACCAGACTCTCACTCCCTCACACGCACCTGTACTGAAATAAGATCAGAAATACAATAATAATACTACATATAAAGTATGCAAATTCTTATTGAGAATAGTACTTTTGTCATATTCTAATGAACTATTATAGCTATTTTCCATGACAATAGAGTAATTCTTCTGTAACACTACTGATACAGCATTGTCTTCTGAAATTAATACCTTCTTTGCTCAAACCTTCAGAAATAATTAGACAACCATGCAAGACTTCTGGATTTAGAATACCACTAATCACAAACATCTCATCATAGTCGAAGCAAATTTTCTCTACTGCCTATCTGTCTAGACTGGCATTTAATGTAATTTCATGCCCATTAGGCATTTAAAAAAAAAAAAAAAAAGAGAGAGAAGCTAAGGACATGTTGCAAGTGTCGTCTTTTCCTCCAATTTTGCACGCTTCTCTTAAGTGATTTTTCCCCCCCCCTGCTTTAATGATCTGAATCAGCTTGTAAACAACCAGCTGAGTACCACAGCCACCACAAACAAGGGTGAGGATTGCAGAGCCAGGAGAGGAGGAATGCAAAGAGCAGAGCCAACTCTGTCAGTGACAGTAAGCTGTGACATCAGGTTAGTCTGCCTCGCCTAACTCCACCCTTTGGGCCAAGTCTAGTTGCTTAACAACAGCGCTGAACTCATCACTCGAGAGCAGGAAGGACAGGTGAAGGTGCTGCTGTGGAGATGATATAACCTTCTTATTCTCAGTACAGTTAACTCAGTTTTGGGTGCCAGAAAGAAAAAGGTACAAAGGACTGATAAGGCAGAGCAAGAGTGAAAGCACACCTGCATGTGTGAGTATCAGTCAGATGAAGGGGTGAAAAGCAAAGCCCAGCTGCTAAGATGTAATGGCTTGAATATTTCACCAGGAAGAGTTTCTGACTTCAGGCCAAAACTGTGATGCCATATCTACTTATGCCATATTAGTGTTATATAGTATTATATAATATTTAATTTTCATAGCACATTTGAAAATTGCTTTGGAAATCCATCTCTTGTATTCCAGCCCTATTGCTGACCCAGTGTAACTGTAACACAAAAATCTTCGCTACAGCTACCAAAGCTAAAACTTCACACTTTCACAAAGCACAGAACATGATCAACTTTTCCATTTCAATCTTGGGTGTAGCTTCTCAAAGACGAGGTTGTTATTCATTACAGTGACAAACAAAATGTAAATACTTACATATTTCCTTCATACTCTTTTGAAGGCTTTGAAGAAACGGTAACATTTTTCTCAAAGCAGAAAAAAGAAAATAAAAACTTAGCAGTTGATAAAGAGTTGTCAACTATTTCTTAAAGGAAAACAGTTTTAAACACTTTTTGCAACAAAATGTAGTTAATAAAAATAACTTCATACACAATATTAACTAGTATTTTCTTACTGAAACTTTAATCACTCTCCATCCTGAAGTATCTTGACTGTACAATAAAATTTTTTCCGCAACTTCATCCGCAGCTTTCTTATAGTCCATTTACCTGTAAAGATTTAAAAACAGCTTGCTGGTATCTGATAAAAGCACTCGTTAAAGAGAAAAACAACACAGGGCTCACTCCTGTGTCCTTTCCACAGGGTTTAGTGTACGTTAACTGGGTATTTCTATGAAATTAACTCCTTCATTATATTGAATTTCAGAAAAATATAGCCATTATTTAAAGAAAGTTCTTTAACAGACTTCCAGTCTGGGCTACCAAGAAGTAGCTGCTGATGTGGATCTTGAGAGTGAACTGCAGCATCCGTGGAGACACACCAGTCGCCCCAGATGAAAGCCACCATCGCTCCCCAGTAAAACCTCCCCTCCTCACGCAGTTTATCCCCAGCCTCTCGCACCAAACTCGCTTCGCACCTCAGCCTCTGCGGGGCCGGCCTCTGCCACAGCCGCCCCCGGGGCCG